TGCATCTACTTGGTTTGACACCTCAAAGGCAGGATAGGCCACAGGAGAGGAGGATCCTCCTCCTTCCTGTGCTTGTCTTCCTCCTCTTCCATGTCAAGAGTGTTCCCGTTATTCAGAATGGGGGAAGGTGGGCTTGTCTTTGAGACAATCCTGACATCTCCTTTCATATTCTCCTTGAGCTTCAGCTTTGCAGAGAGATTTTTGGCCAACAGCAGTTGCAAAGATGGTTCACTAAGACTCAGGCCATTGGTTTTGATATATTAGTTTCCACCTAAGTGACATGCTCAGGTTTCCTAGGCACTGGCAGCAGTAGGGGGATTCATTGGCACCTTTGGCTTCAAAGGAATTGGGAACTGAACCTTCTTGTCTTATGTGTCTGCTCCAAATCCAGCTACAGGTAAAAATTATCCTTGATAAATAGCCTAAGTCAAAAACATCAGTTTTCCTCTTGAAGGAGGTAAGACTGAAATTTGCTTTAGTTTTTAATAGCCAAGGGCAAGAACACTAATGTCTTAGAGCATGTCTTCCTGCAGTCATAAATTCTGCTTCTTGGGGGACAAAGGACTTAGAGCATGATAAACAATCTCAAAATTCCTTTTTTTCTTTTACTTTAAGTGAAAAATGCTACTTATTGAGTCAGCTGGAGTCAGCTGCATCAATCTCAGTGGTGATTTTCCATTTATTGTATCCAGCAACCCATTGATATCATCCCTAAATGAATATTTCATTAAGGAATGCAGACAGAAATGGGAGGCAGCAATTATTTGACTAATTTAGAGCTGGAACATTTCACCTAGCTTCTTCCAGGAAAAGAATTGCTGTAAAGTGTGACCTCCATATCACTTAACCTGGAGATTTTTCTTAAGCCGAAGCCCAGCCGATGCTTTATCTTCAGCTCTTGGTGTTTCTCACCCACAAGCATTGCATGTGCAGCCTCCTTCCAAGGGAGAGCTTCATTCAGCAGAACTCCTCCAGCAGTGGGTCACAGCATATCACTAGGAACAGGATAATCCACTTGATCATAATGATGCCTACATGTGGGAGGCGTGTAAAACCATTCAAAAATAAGCCAAGACAGACTTTCTCTTCTCCAAATGTATCGGCCCATTATGTACCAAGTACTGTCTAAGGGATGGGGCACAGCTGCTTTTCTTAAAATATGTTATTAAGGGTATCAGTGTAAGCACTCAAACTCACGAGGCATCCCATTGCTTAGCCATGAAAGAAAGCACCCTGATTATTTTGAATATATTTTTTCTCTAACACTCAGTGTAAGAAACAGAAAAAGAAAATTGTCCTGAGGCAATGGGCTCAAAGTTGCTCATCAGTAGAGTGTGAGATGGGAATCTGCTGAGGATGGCAATTGAGTACAAAGCAATGCTGCAGTCTAGGTCTTCACCGTGTTAAGTTCTGGATCAAAGGAAAATATAGGGATGAACTTGTGTTTGCTGGACAAAGCAATGCTGCAAATAAGGATAGGTCATGAAACCACCTGGTGACTGTCTCACGCTTTCTGGTTTTATTTTTACATCATCAGGCATGCATGAGTTAGCAGGACATTTTGAGCTGGATAGATGCTGCCATGCATGACCAGTGTTTCAGAGCTTGGCTGTAGCTCTGAGTATAAACATAACCCCATCCCAGGCAGCAAAGCTGCTAAGATGATGGTTGATTACTGCATGTTTTGCTCTCATATGTCTTCTCTTATTAAGCCAGACCTCTCATATGCTCTGTGGCACAGTCTCCTGCACAGAAGAAAACAGCCAGTGATAAATACTGAGATTCAGTGCTATGTACCTACCTCTGAAATATTTAAATGAGAAAGCTCTCTGCAGCAATCTTTGAAAACAGACCATTGTGCTGTAAGAAAACAGCACATTTTCCCTCCAAAATAAAACAATCCTAGCAAAAATCCGAAAGGTGATGTGAAGAACTGCAAGCAATTCACTTGTTATGAAATGGTTTCATAGTTTGATATTCCCTTACTAGGATCTGCATAGCATATTCAGATCATGTCTGGATATAAATGCTAGATATAATTGCTAGATAGAAATGCTGAGAATGACTAATCAGCAAATTGTACTCTTAGGCTTGCCCAGACACACATTCTAAAAGGGAATTATTGCTATTAAACATTTTCCATTTAATCCCTTGTGTTTTCAGTTCTTGGAGGCTGCTTGACACAGTGAAAATAAAAAAATCAGTAGGTAACTGAGAAGTCAGTTCACAAGCAAGCTCAGAAACAGTGCAATTGAAGTCTTTAGGAGTCATTATGTACCTGGAGATTACCATCATCATTACTATCACTCCAGTTGAGCTGACTGTAGAACAGTGTCTGCCTGCGGTTTCTTCCATTATTGTTTCCAACAGTTGGAATAATTTTCTGCCATGGTTTTATTATGGGCATCTTGTTCCTTCAGTTCTTTTCTATCCACTCTTGTCCTTCAAACAGCCTCAGTCTCATTGTTTAACATCATTGTATGGTACCTGAAATAACAAGGAAGGTGCAAACATGCACCACTGCATCAGGCAGTGCTTCTCCTGATCAAATTGATCCTCGTAGGGTTTCATGCAGCTGGCAGGAGCTCTCTAGTCTGGCAGCTGCCACAGGCAGCAACCAGCAGCTGTCAACATCTGGGCAGTTCTCCTACCCTCCTCACAGGTTGCTCAATGCAGCATGACCACCAGACAAGCTGCTGAGGAGCACATCAGTCTCAGCTGGTTGCTGAGGTTTATTATCAACACAAAGTACTAGCAAATATTGTCTTTCCTGCACAGTGAATTGGTTCTGGTGGCATGGTCAGAGCCTACTTTACTGCTAGGGATCCTGTGATGGTCTTTGCAGATGGAACATCACTGGACAAAATCTCATCTTGCCTTGGTTCAAGTTGAATAGAGTTGTGAAGTCAGTAGCAAGATCCAGCCCAAAACTCACTGCAGTCAAAGGAACATTTTTTGGCAGTTTTCATGAGGTTTTGGGGAACGTGCCCAACCAAGGCAGAGGACTAAAAACTACCCAAACTCAATGTTTCCTGGCCCAGAGTTCAGGAGACCTTTAGAAGTACTTAAACTTCTGGATTGCTTTCAACCTTTGATCCGCTCCTTGAACCTAGCAACTTGCTTGAACCCTTTTTTAATTACTTTTTTTGAAAGTCACCCAAACATAGGCCTTTTGGAGGGAAGCTCAGCATTCTGAGCCTAATGATAAATATGAAAAGGCAAAGACTGCACATGCAGCACCATTAGTTTACCAAAACCCATATATATATTGTTACAGCACAAAATAGCTTTTATTTCTGCATCTTAGACTGGGGTTGGGATATTCAAAAGCTAATAATCTCTTGGGTTAAGCCGCTCTGTTGTTCCTTCCTCCACAAGAGGACGTCAAAAGATTATTATTTTTTGATTATTCTTAATCCAATTCTTCAGTGGAAATGCATGTTCTTTTTATTGAATCCATGTATTTAATTGCTGCTGCAGGAAAGCTATTTTATGGCCCACAAGAAGTTAGAAAAGCTTGGATGTTTTCATTTTCATTGAGATTTAAGGTTTGCTCAGGGGAAGATTGGTGCAGAAGTCTGCTAGAGGTCTTGTCTTACTGCTGCACCCATCCTACTTAATGCACTCTGATACACGGTGGGGACAGAATGAGCATCCTCCCTCCTCACCTGTGTGGGACAGCTCAACGATACACATTTTGCCATGGAGGATTTTCTCCTTGGCTCAGAATATCTGTGCACTGTCTGTCGTTGGCCATCTCTTGTTAAAGCTGGGCTGCTCCTGCCTCACCTACTGATTGCTCTGTGGTGGGCAATGGAGCAGCTGGGGTGATGGCAGATTTGCTGCAGAGAAGTACAGATAAGCCCCCAAGCCCCTCCACTTTTATGCCATGTTGATAGCCATGGAAAGTCTTGTGATGTATGCCTTTAAACTCTGTTCCTCAAGGCACAGAGCCAAGCCAGATTCAAGTAATCTTCTCAACATTCCTCTCTCCTCTCCCTGGTTATCACTCTCCATTTGTAGCTTGCATTTCAGACAGCCAGGCAGGGTGGAGCAATATTGCAGTGATAGATGTAACCATCTCGAATGATCCTGGTTTCACCTCTGAGCAAAACGGGGCTAGGTTTTTTTTCCCCTAGAGTAATTTCCAAGGGCAGGCCATTAAGACTGAGCTGCAAAGCCTCGCTGAGAGATGGCTCTGTTCCCAGAGTGCCCATCCTTCCCTGTGAGGCCACCCACTCTGCCTGTCTCACCCATTGATTTTTCCTCCTGAAAGCCAAGCACTGCCTGTAGGCCCACTCAGATCAGTGCTGCTGAGGGAGCAAGGCAAAACGAAAGGAAGAAATAAGGTTTTGACTTCAGGCACTGAAGGCAAATGTCATATTTTTTTCTTGTGACACCCAAGCAGGAGTTGGCTGAGATCTGTCAAGCTGCACGTTCTCACATGCTTAGTAAATAATTAGGGTCTGACTCACCACTGAATTGTTCCGTTCTTTTTCCCTCTCTTTTTCAAGGAACTACTCTGTCACTGGGATAACACCAGCCCTCTGAGGTCCCCCCACCTTTGTTTTTAGCATCCCATAGTCATGTGTGCCTGTTCTCGCAGTATCCCCATCAGGCTGGGGAGATGGCATCATCCCTGCCTGGAAGAGGGACTCAGAGCCACACTCATCACAGTCACCTGAGTCCTTCTCTGACTCTAAACCCAAAACTGGCCAAAAGCTCCAGCCATCAGCTGGTGAGACCCCAACATGATGCCAAAGGGTCCATGCATGGCAGAAAGTGGTACACCTGCAGTGGCACAGCCTCTCTCATGGGACTCACCATGTTGTAGCTGCCCCTTGGTTCATGATGGTTCATACACCAGCTCCTGCTGCTGTGTGTGAGTCATTTAGTAGCTACACTGTTTGTAATGCTATACCTGGAAGAGCTTCTGTGAGGATGCAAGAAGAATGCAATTCCCTCCAGATATGACTGTGGTCAGTGTTTTGCACATACAGATCTCTGCTTTCGTTGCAGGTGGAAGACAGCATGTTGGATGTGTATGATTTTGTGTATGAGGAGGTGAGGAGGAATGCCTCCAGCTTCAGGAGGCATGAGCTGACTGCCATCCATGAAGCAGTAAGTTGCCTTTCAGCTGTAGCAGAAAACCTTGCCCTGGGGTATCTACTCAATGGTTTTGGCAGGCTGGGACTGACACCTGTGCTCTGCCTCATGGATGCTGCAATGCCATTTTCCCTTGGGAACCAAGTTCTCCAGCCTGCTGTGGAGTCTGCTCCTCCCTTCCTATTTTTACTTTCCCAGGTCTGACAAACCTGATTATCAACAGGAGGAGAGGGTCACCTCTCTGACCATCACTGTGGTGCAAGGTCTACAAAGCTCCTGCACTGCAGAAGATATACATCCTGTCTGTCTCAGCAGGCCCTCTGACCTGCTCCCTATCTGTGGTACAAGAATGTGGATATACACCTGGTCAAGCAGAGAGCAGGGAACAGAAATTCCACATAGTCCAGCAGTAGTATTTGACCTTGATAATTTTAATTTATCCTTGAGCCTATGGCTGAGGCTATGTGGCCTCTTACAATGCTGGAGACTGCTGTCAAGCTCCCAAAACCCACCTCTCAGGATGCTGTTGGTGTAGAGGATTTCTCTGTAGCTAAGTAGGTGGGCAACTGTGGTTACCCACAGCACAGGGAGAACACTTGCCCTCGAAGCCACAGGAGATGAGTGAGGATATCCTCCCTGGTAATAAATTCCTGAATCCCTGCTGAGTAAAGGAGATGCTATCCCCTCAATCAGAAGGGCATGTTTGGGTAGTGAGTTCATGGTATGCAGAAAGGCAGGATGGAAAGGTCAGCTCCATTCGCCTGTTTCCAGACACCTCCCACACAACTCTCTTTATCCTTCTGTGTTTTCTTAAATCATCATAACAAGTTCTTTCCAAAGCTGCTTCCATCCATGCTTCTCAAAATGCAGGAGAGGGCAAATTTTTCTCATTGCAATGGTGGTGGTGACCCTCAGAGCCATGACCAGGCATGGAGGTGCTTGCTCTCAGGGCTGTGAAGCAGTACATCCAGAGTCTCACTTGACAAGGAGAACCAGGCACAGTACCTGTCTTCACCAGTTGCATATTTTAGCCACTTAAATTGATACAGAAACAGTCCTACTTGTATTATTTTTTCCTTTTGCCAGAGCTCCAACCTCTCCAGTGCACCATGGCTATAGGAAACCAGCTCCACAGTGTGTATTGCTGGGGATTCCTGAGCCTGTAACAGGCACTAGAAACATGAGTCTGTGCATCCCTGGGTTTTCCAGCTGTTGATTCCATACCTACATGCTTTGCTCCTTGCTGCCCTGGCTGGGTAGCTCTGCCTGGGGCAGCAAGGAGGAAGCATGGCCCATTGCTGGCATCTCCTGCTACAGCAGCTAGTGGGTAGGGGAGAGCCCTGGCAGGTGGCTGGCAGACTTCTCCCTCTCTTCCAGTTCCTGTGCTGTGGGAAGCACTCTCCATTCGGGGACACGTCCAACGTTGAGCGCCAGACATGCCCACCTGGTCAGGCACATGATGTGGGACAGGTAAGGGAAGGGTTTCTCCCACACAGCAGCGGGGTTGTGCCACTATTTACTAACTGTTAAAACCTCACTGGTGTTAAAGTGAATGAGAATTGTGACTTTTTCATGGTTTGGGGTTTGTTTTATTGGGGTTTTGTTGTCTAACTAACAGCTCTGTATGCAGTGCTGCTCTGGGATCTACAGCACAAGAACATCGACCTTGAGACTGGATGTGGCACTTAGTGCCATGGTCTAGTAACCACAGTAGGGTTGGACTTGATGATCTTTGATGTCTCTTCCAACCCGGTTGATTCTATGATTCTATGCCCTGTTGGAGTGAGTCCAGAGGAGGGCCAACAAGATGATTAGAGGGATGGAGCACCTCTCCTGTGAGGAAAGGCTGAGAGAATTGGGTTTGTTCAGCCTGAAAAACAGATGGCTTAGGGGTGACCTGATTGCGGCCTTCCAGTACCTGAAGGGAGCCTACAGAAAAGATGGATAGAGACTGTTGTCAAGGGCACGTAGTGACAGGACAAAGGGGAATGGCTTCAAACTGAATGAGACTAGGTGTGGACTAGATATCAGGAAAAACTTCTTTCCTGTGAGGGTGGTGAGGCACTGGAACAGGATGCCCCATTGCTGGCACTGTTCAATGCCAGGTTGGATGGGGCATTGAGCATCCTGATCTAGTGGAAGCTGTCCCTGCCCATGGCAGGGGGGGTGGAACTAGATGATCTTTAAGGGCCCCTTGAACCCCAACCATTCTATGTTTCTGTGAATTAGGAGGGAGGAGGAGCCCTGGTGGATCAGCAGGCCCCAACCCACAGATGTGGTTTCCTTTGCAGGTCTAGAAAGCCTTCAAAATGCTTATGTTTGCAGCCTGTCACTTCCCTCCAGCTTCCTCCTCATCTCCTGTGTATGCAGAGTGTGAGATATCACAGGCATGTACCTGAGCACAAAATAAATGTTTGACATTTCCACGTGACACTAGTTTCTGAGGCTTAAAATGTGTTCCACTGGCAGCAAATGTAGAATTTGATGTAATTCCATTTTCTTGGGGCATTAAAAAGTTATTAAAATGAGAAACTCATGAAGCAGGAAGATGATGCCCAGCAGTAGCTTCAACAAGCAGTCCCATATCTTTACATGAAGCAGGAAGATGATGCCCAGCAGCAGCTTCAACAAGCACACTTCATTCCTCCTCTTTGCACTATCTCAGTGAGGCTGGTGGAAAAGCCACCAGTATTACTGTTCTTCACTGAAGCCACAACATAGACTTCATACTGTCTGAGCAAAACTATTGTATGATTAATTTTCTTCCACCAGAGTAGCCAAATCTGCTGAAGTAGCTAAAGCCATAGCATCAATATATGCTGTCTCCAGGGCAAAAACCCCCATGTTACTGGAGCTATGCAAACACGTTGTTGTCAGGTGAAGATGTCAAGGGCTGATGGGACACCATGATGTGCAGGCACACGTCAGCCCACAGGGCAGTGTTTCAAAGCACTGTGTCCAGGAACACCACATCTCCAGTCACAGTTGAACTTGGCTCAAAGAACATGAAGGGAAAGCAGAACAAAGCTGGGCACCATATGAGTGACTCCATTCCTCCCACCTACTGGTCTGTGTTTCCCTCTCTTGGGAGACAGGGAAATGGGTGGGAGGATGCGTTTTGCAACACAGGGAACCACAGAGTTTGGTGGCCTCACATTCACTCCTGGCTTTGAATGCTTTTACTTTGCTCTGCAAATTGCTTCATCATGGGCATACTCTTCTGAAATGCCTCTCTTGGCTAACACCTCCTGGATTTCTGTGGGGCCACTGACGTGCTTAAGGCTAATGCATATTAATGCTTGCTGCAGCTTGTGAAATTGAGCTGTTCATTGGCAACCTTGGGGAATGCATTTAGCATCTTGGTTCATCTGCTTTTTCATCTTTTCATTTCCCTCTTTCCATTTTCCAGTGGATGAAAAGTAAAAAGCTTTTGCATGAGCACAGTTACACACACATCCCCCACAGTCCAAAATGCAACGCACCGAGACAATCATAGGCATGTTGTAGTAATAGAAAATGTATTGCAGGTATTTGTGTCTTCCCAAGTTGCAGCAACAGCAGCAAAAAAGGGAGATCTGCCCAGCTGTGCAATGCTTCACCCCTCCCCTGCCTCACTATCTCTGGGGTTGCAGCAAGTGCTGTTGGGGGAATGAAGCCCTCCAACAAGCTGCTGCTGTGCTGCAAGGGGTGTCTCTTCTCCTAGGACTGCCTTCAAGAGATCCTGGACTTTCTGAAGAAGCACATGGACTTTGTCTTCTTGCTCCTGGGCATCACCATTGGCTTCACGGTAACAGTGTTGGTCCTTTCACATTTGGGCCCTTAATAGCAGGCTTCAGCAGGGAAAGCATATCCTAAATTAGCCCCCAGAAGCTCAGATTTTGGGTGATTTTGGAGGCCAGCAGCAGAGAAACAAGAAGTGGTGGACTCCACCATGGAAATTAGGAAGGGGCCAGGACCTGTCTTGCCCAGACTGATAGTTCGAGGGGGTTTCCTGCAGGAATAGGCTCACTGCACAATTTGTCTGCCCAAATGAGGCATGGCCCTGGGATTAGGGAATGGGATACAGCAGCAGTTGCCTTGCCCACATATCTTCTCCTGCAAGTGAGAGGCCACGTCACCAGGCTGGGGGCTTGCAGATCAGGTAGGAAGCTAGCAGCAATGGTAGAAAAGGAAATGCAGTAAAATCTTCATACTTTAGAAAACTTGCTGCCTCCTAGCTCAACCTAGGAAGTCGCTTTGTGCAGCCCGAGCTGGAAGGTCTTGAAAGCAACTGAGCACCAGCAGTGGAGTTGGAGAGCTCTGCAGAAAGGGAAGGTCTCATCCTATTAATGACCGCTAATGAACCCGGTAAAGTTCATCTCAGGCAGTGAGTGGGTAAATCACAGGCTTGTAAGGAACTGGCTGCAAAGGAGAGGAGCAGAGCATGTTGTCTGGACTCCCAGGTTCTGTCTTTGAAGGAGAATTTTGCAGAGGAGGAGAAAAGTCATCTTCAGAGGGTGGCTTGTGTATAAAGGGTAAGCACTGAATCTGTGAGTTTTGTTTGAGGGAGGACAAAATAAAAAATTAAATGCTGCAAGAGGAGCATGCTTTTCAGTGGTGAGTGGGCTTGATGGCTGCATGGGGATGGTCCCTTTCGAGCTGGAGAGTGCCACTAATTAAAACCAGCCTGCTTGTATGCCCACCCACTGCTTGGCAGAGGTGTATTGCTGTGATTACCTCCACATAAAGGCCCTGCATGTGTGGTGATGCATGCCAGAAAACAGTATGTGCCAGGAGACTTGTTTCTTCACCATGAAGGGAGGCTTGATCTGCTGTGATACTGACATGCTGCTCCCCAGCTGGGATGACCTTTCCCAACTGAAAGTCTATTTGGAGATTGTTTTACTCCATGTGTCCACCTCTGCGCAATCACGGGTTGGAATATTCTTCTGCAGCTAAATAAAACCCAGAGGAACAAACAATGTTTTATTTTATACTGCTAGCAGTAAATTAGGAAAACCATCAAGAATTGCTATGGAGCTATAAACGTGAAGTCACGTGTGAGTATTTAGCATCGCTTTCCAATTTTTCTCTGTATAGGGAGAATTTCACTGCAGCTATATTCAGATAAAAGCAGGAGTGTTTTTATTATATATATCCTTTTTTCACAGCTTGATGCTATAGCCAGATATGGCAGCTGTCTTTGAAGTGTGTGCTAGAGGAAATCTCACTGCACAGTTCACTATTGTGATGGCAGGATGCAAAGAAAGCACGTGACAAGGGCTATATCTGCTCTGATGTCACTGTCCCTTGGCCAACAATGCACACATGTGCCCAGATCAAGCTGCAAGCAAAAGCACTTGCATGTTAGGGCATACTTGAGGAAAGAGCACATTGTTTCAGCCCTTGTTATCCTTCCCACAGCAGCCTTACCTTTGATATGTTGCTTGTGTAAATCCTGATGTGTGATATACTAGGCAGAATATCACAATGGATAGGAAGTACACTGTCCTCTGCATTCATAACTCTGCACGTGCATGGGATGGTGTTTGGGATTGGTTTAGGGTTTTGTTTGTTCATTTGTTTTGTTGGGATTATACTCCAAACAATACATGGGTGTTGGTGTTTTTTTCTCCCTATGATATCTTTACAAAAGGTTTTTATTATGAGAGATATGTTTGTTTGCATACAGGAATGTTTTGTGGCAGGAATTTGAAATTTCAATTTCCTGGTTTCATCTTATTTCTTGGTATTTTTAGGGCTGGGTTTAAGCTATGCTGTGCTAATTCCAATCAGATGTTTTAACTGCATGTTGCTTTTTTTTTCCCTTATCCCATGTCAGAATTGGTGTGCACCACTAAAAACCAGCTCTCTTAAGAAAAATGTGACACCCTGATACACAAATTCAGACATGCGAAATGGACTGACAGGCAACATTTATGATTGCTTATTTGTGCAGATGAAGCATCATAATCAGTTCTGCATTTAATTGTATGCCTGCCTCATTCATTTCCTTTTAGGTTTATGGGATGATTCTAACTTCATTCCTCTGGTTCTCCATCCACTTCAGCACCAACCTGGACCGGAAAGGCAAATACATCCTGCGAGAGAGGTAGAAGTCCAATGTTCAGGCATCACTACTAGGTAGAGTCAGCTCTTGAAGCAGGAAGATGTCTGAAGTTACCCATAAAATCCCCTGGGAAGGCATTGTGTGGGGTCAGGCAGTGGGACGTGTGTCACATGTTTCCCTTTCCTGCTCTAGCTATCGTGCATTTCCATGCTGGTCAGAGCAGATGATGCTCTGAGGAGCAGTCCCATATCTTTACCTCAAACAGACAAGGACTGAGATGTGCACCTGAGCTCAGAGATGCAGATTCCTTAGCCAGGAGATGTATGGACTGTAGCTCCACAAGCAGGATACAAAGATCCCCTTAGGAAAAAAATGGAGAGAAAAGCCCAGCGAAAGTCACAGAGCTCAACTGTCATCTGAGCAGTTTCCTGTGACTCCCAAAGATGCAATGTTTCTAGGAAGATGGCTTTGGATTGCAGCCCAGGACCGATCTTGTGGTATTGGTAAATAAATAGGCACAAAGTGTGTCATTGCTGACGGGAAATGTGCTCTCCCAGCCTGGACACTTTCAATGATTGACTTTGGGCATGTTTCTCATCACGCTCGAATACGTAGGCATCCAATGACCGTCAACTGGTTTTCCCCTGTTTTCAAGCATTGCCAGTCTTACAGAGCTTTTGGTAGAGATCAGGAAGAAAATCAAAAATTAGGGCATGAACTTTGAAACAACTGATCAGCAGAAAGACATATCCCTCTGTTATTCCACCTTTCTAATGCAATATATCACTTTTGGTTTTTAATTCTTAGGATTTAGTCAACCTCCTAGACCTTGATGCCACACTGATTTCACAGGGGCTGTTCAACTTCCAGCCCCAGCTCTGTGTTTATCTGGCTTCACTAGCCCACTGTGCTGCTGTGCAATACAAAAGGACTTTGGTATTACACATACACACAGGACTGAAGCTTAAATCTCTAAGAGAACAGGACTGATCTCCAGCCAGGTCAAACAATACAATGTCCAATTCCACATCCTCTTTACCTCACCTTATCAATAACAAACAGAGTTTTTAAAAGGCTCTGAGTCTAGCTGAAACAACAGCAACTGGCATGCTTTGCCCTTGTTCAAAGGAGGCAGAGCCACTTCTGAGCTGAAACCCAGCATTGCAATGGATGTAGCTCCTGCTGTAAATTATACAGCTGTATGAAATGTCTGTTGAACCAACAACAGGTTTCACTCCTTCATAGTGGCTTTTAGTCATGGAATAAGGTAAGTAGTAATTGTTTATTGAAGCCTCCATGCTGATGTTCAGGACAGATCCTGGCCCTCAGGCAGGGGCTGCTACACATACAAGAACATCAGGACAGCCTATAGCACCTGGTTGGCATTTTAACATGGATACATTGGTAAGAATTGCATCTTGGAGGGATCAGGGAGGACTACCACTCCTCACCCCCTCCCTTGGAACCATCAGAGCTTCACAATTGACTTCACTGGAAGCAGGATCAAGTTCAAACTGCTCTAGTGTAGTACCCAAGCTACCTCCTGGCAGTCACCAACACACCTCAGTCCAGCAGGGATTTAGGAGTGATATGCACTTGCCAGCATATGTTCTTTTTTGTGGTGGGGAAATATTCCCTTATATATATATGTATATATGTACTATCATGTATATTGATCTCTGGAGAGAGACAATCTCCCTTGTAAGCTCCAGCTGCTACTGTCTGGGCCACTGCTATTGTTATTCTCAGGCCAGCTGGCAGCTCGTGTGACTCATGGTTGTTTCAATAAAGATGAATTTCTTGCAAAAGGCTGTCATTCCTTCTCTTTTTCTGCCGTGCATGAGGCTGCCTACATTGCTTGGGGGTTTGCGTCATGGAGGGCCCTCAATAATTCTTTCAGTGCTGGGAAGAGATATTCCCAAGGCAGCTGGTACTCATCTGTCCTAGCAGCATGCTGAAGGGAAAGGATGGCATTGGTCCTTTGGAGGAAAAAGAGCAACTCATCAGCCTCATCCTACCCTCAGCCAGCTGACAGGGCAGCAGGCAGGTACCTCTTGAGGAGTAATGTAAGCAGGGGCAGGAAAAAAGCTTAAGGATGTGTTTAAGCTGTAAGAACCAGAGTATTTATACAGAGGAAATATGTAAGAGTCCACTTTTTTAAGGACTAGGTAGTCAGGTCTTGCCCACTGCTCTGCATTGGTTAACTGCTGATGTTCTGCCACATCAAAAATCATTGTAGACAAACAAATCAGTGGAGTGTATGTTATGGGTGGGGGTTAACTGTTCAAGCCTCATCAGCTCCAACAAACTAATAAAAATAAACCCAAACCTTGTTCTGTATGTACACAATGGCCATCTCGTGAGCTTTGTTCCTATTTCACTGGCTGCTGGAGTTCCCTTGCAAGGAGTGGCACCTTCAATTAACAGGTGACAGAACCATGCCTAGCTGGACACACTCTTCTCCCAGAGCTAGTGTTGTGTGTAGCAGCAGGAGATTCTGTTGCCCTGTGATGGCATCCCACTGTAATTTTCAGGAGCAGAAAAGCAGATATCTTCCACTCCTTGATTTTTAAAAACCTGTTACAGAAATGTGCAGTGTTACCATTTTGTTTGCAGTTGTAGAAGTGGCAGCACTCAGGGGTGGCTGGATAGAAGCTGAAAGGCAGGCAAGTGTTGAGTCGAGCAGGTTTTTTACACCTCCACCAACAAAAACTCCCTGTCCTACAATGAATTTTCTTGCACTTACCAGTTCCTAATTTGCTGTTTACTTGGGACAAATTACAGCTCATGCGCAACCAGAGCAAACCCCCAAGAACTTATTTGTAAGTGGTGCCAAGATTGACACAGTGTTGATAAGAGCAAGAGAGAGACTTTGTTGGGAGAAGAGCATGGAGCTGAGCATTGGGGATGCAAGCCAGCAGCCAGGCTAGGAAACACCTGCAGAGCAGTGAGCCTTCCTGGGGCTTGCTCTAGCGGAAGCTGTTTGTTATAAGCATGTCAACACTCACATTCTGCTAGAAAAGAAATCTTATTTATGTAGGCACATGCAGGAGTAAAAACTAAAATAAAATTTACAGGTCAGAAGTGCAAAGCTAAATAATTGTGAATTGGCTCCAGCTAATTGTCAGTTAAGCTGCAGCAATTATCAATTACTTCCACTAAGGTTATCTGGGCAGTTGCAGTTTGGCCTCTCTATGAGTATGTGTTAGACTCTGGTCATGAGTTACGCTTTTTTTTCTATTTAGACAACTCTCCAGCTCTTTCTGAGGACATGGCAAAAGGGAGCAACCTAAGGCCAGGTTGCTTTGGCCTATGTATCCACTTATAAACTTATGGGGGGGAGAGCACCAGCCCATGGCAGCGGCAAGAAGTCTTTTGTGCTGGTCTCCACCCTTTGTTGCCCATGCACAGCTCAGGTCCTGCTCTGCCAACATGAACAATTCCCCTGAGGCCTTACATGGGGCTCACCATGTGTTCGTGGGTGGCCTGTCCACAGCTTGCTTACAGTTCAGAGGACTCTCCCAGTGCCTGCTCTGAGACAGTGGATGTTGCTCTTTCAGTGTACTGCTGACACAGAACTGCAGGTGAGCAGAGTGCAGCTTTGCACAGCAGATGAGGATGCCCAGGGCTTCTGCAAACCTGGTTTTTCAGTACCCAGAAAAAACCTAAGGAGCTCAGAGCACTTGTGAAAAGCACAGGTTAAGCAATATAGTGACTCTCTAGAGGGATCCAGTGGTGATGAGAGTGAGAATCTTTCAGCCTCATGGTATGCTGGCTTGACTCCAAAATGGTTTGCTATTTCCTGCCCTATTTACTGTGTGTCTGCCAGTTCCCACTGCACATGAAATACAACTTCCTTATGCAACTGCCCCTTTGCTGTACAGCTTGGATTCATACCTGCAGCAAGCTCATAGAGAAGACACTGCTGAGAAAGTCTTTCCAAAGCCTTAGAAGCTGGAAAATTTGGGTGGATCTTTGCAGTGCTGGGGTGGGAAGGAAGCCATCTCCTGCCAACATAAAGCTGTGTTTATGAGCTGCAGACACACCAAATATTTTTGGAAGCAACACTTGATAGATGTATGTTTTCTAACCAGGTGCAGAAGCAATGCATTTGCAAAAGCAGCTGGCTATAATTCTCTAGAAATGCAACCAGAGGTGGAAGATGCTCCACACAGATCTCTGCCACCATAACTGAAAGCAGGTAGGGTCAGAAGCTGCTGTGAATAAGTGGCTAGATCACACACATCCTGCAACTTTCACATGAAGTGTTGTTGCAGCTCTCTCTGTTAGTTAAATGCTATATTAGGATGAAAAATTATTTTTTTCTTAACTGTATAGTTCTGCTTCTGGAAGAACGAGCAACTGGCAGCAAGCATCAATCCTGTCTTTGAGAGACATAGCACCGTGTGGGACAGTGGAGGAGAGCACAGCAGTGAGGACAGGGAGCTCTGGAGCAGACTCAGAAGCTATTTTGGAAAAACACAGGCCGTGAGTGTTTTGCATATTTTGGCCATAGCTGCCAAACCCATGACTGATTGCAGGCCTGCTGGTAAAGCTGCTTCACTCCCTGGTGAAGCTGCTCCACTCCCTGCCGTGCTGTCCCTCTCATCCCCAGCACAAAGCCAGTGCTACCTTTAGCCGTCTGACATTTTGGGGGGTCAAACAAATTACTACCTGGAGGCAAACTGTGTATTTACCCATGCCAGGACAGTCAAGAGGAAAAAAACCCATCTCTTTATATGGAAGAGATACATGGGGGTTGCTCAGCTTGTGAGGAATTGGAACATCCTGGAAGAAATAATTTCTGCCTGAGCCTGGAGGTCCTCATCAATAGCTAATGCCGTGCTGTCTTCCAGATGCTATTCCCTTAGACTCCAGCAAGCAAAAAGGAAAGGTCCTTCCCAGCATTTTTGTCAGGAAGATGCATATCCCTGCGTCACTCTCCCTGGAGTCACTGGCAGCCAGCTAGCTGGGTTGTTTATATTATCCCAAGACAAAATCCCTCCTCTTGCCCCTCAGCATCAGAGTGCTATTGTTTAACCCCCA